GGGGGGGGGGGGGGGGGGGGCAGCCCCCCCACATTTGCAAACGCAATGCTGGCAGCATGGGTTTGGAAGGGAACCTGCCCGGCTCAAAAGGGGGGGTAGCCTCTTTCTTTATTTCTGTCTTTGATTATTGATTTCTTTCCGTCTTTGGTTCTTTCTTTCTTTCCTTCTTTCTTTCTTTCTTTTGGTCTTTTGTTCTTTTGCTATTTCTTTATTTCTGTTTGTTTTTCCTTTGTTCTTTCTTTCTTTATTTCTGTCTTTGTTTATTTATTCCTTTCTGTCTTTGGTTATTTCTGTCTTTATTTATTTCTGTCTTTCTTTATTTCTGTCTTTCTTTATTTCTGTCTTTCTTTATTTCTGTCTTTCTTTATTTCTTTATTTTGTTATTTTGCTCTTTCTTTCTTTTTGTCCTTTGTTTTGTTCTTTCTTTCTTTCTTTCTGTCGTTGTTTCTTTCTTTGTTTCTTTTGTTCTTTCTTTCTTTCTTTCTGTCTTTGTCTCGTTCTTTCTTTTTCTACTTCTTTCTTTCTTTCTTGTCCTCCTTCTCTGGACTTTCAATAGGATTGGACCCTTTTTTTGATGCATTTTGGGTTTGGTTTTGATGTATTTTTGGTTTTTTTATGATACATTTTTGGTTTTTTTGATGCCTCTCCCCTCAAGGTGCAGGATGTTGCCAAGGGCCTAGGACTTTTTAAGATACGTGTTAACGAGTTTTGTAAAGTTGTTATCGCACCCTGTTGGGTACCCCCTGATCAAGGTCTGGTCTTCTTTCGCGCGTTCTCTCATCTCTGCCGTTCTGCCGCAGTTCTGCCTGCTGGGTATCTAATGTTTCTTGCAGGCACCATTTCTTAGCTGCGAGCCGTCGCTTCCGCAGAACTCTGCTCATCCCACCCGCACGGATTCAGAAAGAAACGGTTTACGGATTTTGCAGCTCTTAGCCTCGAGTCGAGGCGAGTGCCCACAGCAAGAATCCAAGGACCCAAATTTTCGAGCCCTTGCAACGGCTTTCTTGAAGGCCAGTTCGATAAAGCAGAAACATTGAACATGAGGACGCCCATGTCTGGCGGTCCTCTCGTATACGATATGACAAAATGTATTGTATGCATGCTTTTATGTATGTGCTTTACAGGGGACACAATTTCAAAACAATCAAGAAGGATCAAGCAACCAGTGCAGCTGAAATATAAAGACATTGGTCACACAAAAGCCCTCCCCAGTACACGACAATGCTGGATGCTTGACTTCTAGAGACACCGTGCAATTAAAAACCCAAAGCCTCTCCCTAAATCCCCTGTAGCCCAAAGTCGTACAGGCAATGATTTTCAACTGAATCAGAGACAGCGCAATGAAATGAAAACTACAACCCGACGCACACAATGACTGAACAGGATTGATCAGTGCATGTGACGTAAACTGAGTTAGGTACTTACAGCAGGGTACAAGGCAGTTGGTCAAAATGTTGATTGCGCCAGAGTCTTAGAGTCTGATGTTTCTGTAAGGTCTATCGCCACGTGAAAGAAGGCAACCCAACACAGTGGTGCTCGTCTCCAATCTTGAGCTGGTGCCTCTGGCACAGGTTCCAAAAGATTGCAATATCACAGGCGAAGGTCTGCCCTCTCTCGATGGTTGCTCTGGAACCGAACGGCAAAACTGGAAGTGGTCGTAGCCTGCGCCCACTCGAATACGATATTTTGGGGGGCCCAGATAGTTCAGCACCGGTGCTGCGGGCAGCCGAAGCGGCTTTGCCTCTATAATTTCAAGCACAGCACGTGCTACATGACATGCATCCTAGTCCATCCTAGTCCGTTTGATGCCATGGAACCCCTCAAACCTCTGGTTCATTGAACCCACAACGGCCTGCTACACTTTGCGTAGCAGAGACAAAGACCATGATGGAGCTGTAGGATCTGGAGAAGAACTCTGCTTCAGCATCTGAGCCTTGTCAAAGGCAGGCTGCTTCAGGGAGTAGTACTCGGGCTGCAACACAGCTTCGTCGAAACAGACGTGCAATCCAAAGGCTACTGACTTCCGATTGCCACAGCAGTATAGAAAGCTGCGTTCAACATATATAAGACACACCTGGACTCCAAATCCAAACCCGATGTTTGCATCTGAGCTCTACTATCCGATCCAAGCTAACAAGGCCCTGCATAACCATACTCATGCACATGCGATGCGAACGCTGCAACACGACAACAGAACTTAATGCTTTTCGAGACACCACATGCAAGAGCATTTTGATAAGCTTGGAACACCTGAGTCAGCGTTCACGCCAGAAGGAAGCGCAGCTACGGAAGGGCACGCCTTCAGGCTCTCCGTGATTGCGCCGTATTCAGCGCATGTGTCCAGTGTCGCGTTGATGAAACTCCTGTCTGGAACTCAGCTCCTCAGGGTACTACGAATGCACCACGGGCCTGCATTGCGCGCTGCAGACATTATCTGCAGATTCTTCCAAGTTGGAAGTGAGGACCAGACATCGCCTCACAGAATGCTGGCACGGTCTTGGAATTGAAAACTACGGCTTCTTGCTGAAAAGGCTGCCAAAGCCGGAACCTTCGGGTAGTTTCGCAACTTGTGACCGGTTACACTCACGCGCGATCGTCGCATAGAAAGCAGGAGTTATTTCACTTCGAACATCCCCACCCTACAGACAACACCACTGACTGGCGTCATGGTCGTGGGGTCCCCGTGATATGTAACAACACGCGAGTGTTCGATTGTTGTTCCCCTGCTGCAAGACACGTTGAGGTCAAGAGCAGCGCGCTTGATTAGAACAGAGACCATCCCTCACCGAAAAGGGCTCGCCCCCATGGCTGCATTTTTGCTTGGACACTGCGTGCACCCCACACTCTTAGCCTGCAAGCTACAGACCCGTGGCTGGGAGCCTCACTCTGGCAGTCAAACTGAGCCCCCAAGAAAAATTCATCAAATTCAGAAAAATGACCACCAACGACTGACAGCGGTATGCAGTATTCATGCAAACCCTCGCAGGTGCCGGCAATGAACCAATGCAATACATAATATATCGTTGTTCATGCCATGGCTCTTACGATCACCATGCCTCGCGGTTCACTGAACCCCAAAATTAAAGAGCCGCGTTGCTGATCTACCTGTGCGATCTGCTCCTGGCAGTGTGCGGCGGCATCCTCACGAGAACACAACTTGGAGGATATGCAGCTGACTGCAAGGAGGAGTAAAGCGCTAACAAACGAGCCATCCAAACGAAACGAGGAATGATAATCGTGATTGTAGTCCTGGCCTTTTCGCACCGTTGAGCAATGCTTTGTTGGTTGCTTGGAGTTTTTGGAGGAACTTATGTTGCCGACCTGCACCACACACCGCCGCGCATGCCTTCACGCTGGGCTGAAGGCTTCTCGGAATACCGGCCTGCAACACCTTACATCCATAGCTTTAGCTTGAAATTCGCAACGCAAATCGGATTAGGCGGAAGTGGTGGTGGTGGTGGTGGTGGTGGGGGTAGCGGTGGCGGTGGCGGTGGCGGTGGCGGTGGCGGCGGCGGCGGCGGTGGCGGCGGTGGTGGGGGTGGCGGTGGCGGCGGTGGCGGTAGTGGTGACGGCGGCGGCGGCGGTGGCGGTGGCGGTGGCGGTGCTGGTGAGGGTGTCGTTGTTGCTGCTGCTGCTTCTGCTGCTGCTGTTGTTGTTGACGATGCTGATGTGAACTTTCCTCGGCAATCATTCCTTGAGTGGCTTAAACCCGTTTGCCCTACATTTCCGCTTGTCAAAGGAAGGATTCGGGACCTGTTTGCCGAAGTGAAAACATGGAGTCCAATTCAGGCTCCACTTCCTGGGCGCGGTATTGAGTAAATGTAGCACTACCTCTGGTGCTCGTACTGACACCGACAAGCATTGAGATCTGTGCTGACGGCACTCAATCCACTTTTCGGTTGAGGAGCACAGTGAGGGCGAGTGCTGCTGTTCTTCGGCGTCAGTCTGCACACGAAGAGGTCGTTGACCATGTCCTGAGATCATACAGGTTCTGAGGTTGTCTCTGCTAGTGCGCTACAAACCGACGAAAGACGGACGGGCGTCTGTGTGACCCGAGTCTGGGCAGTACTTGCGCCTGTAGGACATCACCGGGCCGAAGACACTTCTGGCCCGGTGGAAGTGGCCACACTCGGCCTTGATGGAAGCGCTCAAGGGACACCACGGTCCCATCACTCTCAGTGGCGCCGCACCTCGACACGCCCTGCAAAAGAGCCGCAGAGGGATCTGCCACAGACCTGAGGCAGTCGCCACCACCCCAAGAACGTCGCTCGGAAAAAATGTGTCAAGATGCATGCTCAGCCAGTGAGGAGACACTCATCGACGGTAGCCAAATCCTTGGACCACGGCTGCGTCGCTCAGGGTCTGCGGCATGCCAATTGCTAATCAGTCAGCAATCATCATTCTGCTGGATGAGACGTGCTGGGGACTACGCACGGCTGGATTAGTCGCTTCGAGCATGAAATCATTATCCGGCCAAGCGTCACGTCACAAGCTGTCGTCGCTGCTGCGAGGAGGCTGTGGCAATGCACAGCCTTGTGACATTCCTGGCCCGGAAGCGCATCCGAGAACGAGCCCGTTTAGTGTCGAATTACTGCTCGCAGCCCCCAAATCCAGATCAGGCACCCTAACCGACTCTGCTGAACCTTTTCTAGGTTGTGGACCTGAGCTCCTCGCAGCGGCAGCTGCCCAGATTTTAGCAGTTCCGGCTGCAGACAGCAGGGATTTGTTCCGGAAGTTGCCACCCGCTTCATGGGTGCACTTTCGATTTCACTCCCTGAAGCGCAAGCCGATCTAGATATGCAGTTGGCGTCACCAAAGTGTACTCAGTGTACTCCCGCCAACGATTATATTTCAGTTTCGGCAGCAAAAGGATCCCGCAGTCATAGGGACCGGTGCAGCACTCGTGCCTCGCTGTTCCTCTCCGTGATGTCTGTAGTCATGGTGCAGCGCTCGTAGGCCGGTGTCAGGAAGTGCGATGTGTTGGTCGGCCACGGAGTCAGGCCTCTTTAACTCATCGAAAGGCAAAACTTCGCGCATCATACTTTATCCCTCGAAGGCCATCAATGATGCCTCTCGCACTTGCAGCAACGCTAGAAAGACGACCACCTGCACAAACCCGGCAAAACATAACATGGTATTGAAGCGTCATTATGCTACTGGTACAAACACTAATTACTCTCAGTCCGAAGAGTGCCCTAGAATACCACGAACTGTCTCGAGATGCCTTCATTGGCAAGAAACCATCGCCTAGCTGGAATTGGCACCTGGCGGAGATGGCAGCGCTGCCACTCCAGACTGCTGGAAGAATCTCCTTGAGCTTCACTGCTAGCAGCACCCTGTGCTCAACTTCATTGTCTCAGCATCCTGAGCCTAAAAAATTGCGAGGCTCCGGTACTGCCGCATCGCAGTGGTGGTACGTCGAACACTGCCATAATCTCCGCATAAATCGAGCACCTCCGCAAGGCAATCGCATGGTTCTCTCGGCCCCCGGGACCTCAGGACCAGCGGCCCATAATAAGTTCGCGACGTGCTCTGCCGCATCTGCGCAACCCTTGCTTTCAACCTTGCCACCAGTCGGGGCTAGATTCGGTCTTTCCGGTCTGAAAGCACATCGCTGGTGCACAAGACTTATCACCCGAGCGCTTCACAACAGCATCCAAGATTCCGGCAACTGTTTGGACCTCCTGCATCGTTGCTTGATCCAATCTGCAGTTTCGCGCCTCAGCGCTATCCACGTCTGACGTGCCCGAGGCTTATCCTATTCTGCTAACATCAGAAGCCGAGGAACAAAAGCACCGGCTTCTGTGTAGCAGTTCATCACCTGCTTCAGGCACCGCTTCAGGCACCGCTTCAGGCACCTCTGCACTTGGCATGACGAGTCCAAAAAATATTCCTGAGCTGGCTGCTCGATCACAGAAGCCATGCAGCCGGTCCTCCAGCGACAATCCCCAACCGTTTCACACTGTTGGGAACAGCCTCCGTGCAGCCCTCCACCAAACCACGGGTCCAGCAGCGACAGCTCGCAGCTGCTATGGTCGTTCACGAGGTCTGTTACGTGAAATTCGTCGCTGCAATATCCTCAATCTCAACAAACCCAGCATCGATTAGCAAATCACCGGTAGTGATGTCAGATCTTGCCGGCAGGAGTCTGTCGTAGTAGAAAAACACCGGTGCCAGCCAACCTTATGCAAGGTTGAGGCAAAGTCTGCGATGCTAAGTAATGATGCAAGACAACGAACCTCGACACGCAGCGATTCAAAACAAGCAACTCGTATCTATGGCATAGGTGCGGCCGCATTTTCTCTGAGCAATCCTGGCGGGCGACGCACACATCAGAAACAATGCAATGCTGGCATCTTGGAACCTGCCTGGCAGCTGCCGCACATGTTGACTTCCCACAAATATACTTCTTCAGTTCGCTGATGCTCATCGTCGATACATAAAGCACCTGGGCCGCATTCAAGTCATTTCAGTTCTAGGCTTCTAGGTTCCCACTTCCAACATTCCAGCCAACGAACTCGGCAGTTACTGTGCACGACCGCCATGTGATTCCAGCAAAAATCTGCTTTGGGGCAATCCTGAGAAACTGCAGGAGGCTCCATACACAACGTGACACCAAGCCTTTGCTTAATTCGGTCTGCGTCCTCCTCGCGTCCAAAACCCGAACCGTGCAGTGGTTGCCGCTGCCATGTGTTGGTTCTGCAACTCTGGCCCAACAGGAAATGATGCAGTGCGGCCCCAAAGCTGGAACGACATGGAACCACAAAGCCACGACGTGCCGCACCATTTGGTCTGATTTCAAACGGTTTGACCTAGCTTGCGCTTTGGCACCAAATTTCGAAAACGACACCCTTCGGAAAATTTGGTGCTATCGAGCCGCCCTTCGTTGTCTTGATTTTCTGAAACGCAGAGGTTCGATTGCACCAAATTTTCTGAAACGATACCCTTCGGAAAATTTGATGCTATCGAACCGCCCTTCGCTGTCCTGATTTCCTGAAACGCAGCGGTTTGATAGCACCAAACTTCTGAAACGACACTTCGGAAACGCTATCGAAGTCCTTTTTCTGGAAGCACTGCGGTTCGACAGCACCAAAGTGTCTGAAACGACACCCTTCGTAAAATTTGGTGCTATCGAACCGTCCTTCGCTGTCCTGATTTTCTGAAACGCAGCGGTTCGAGAGCACCAAATTTGCTGAAACGACACCCTTCGGAAATTTTGGTGCTATCGACCAGCCCTTCTTTGTCTTCATTTGCTGAAAATACAGCGATAGCACCAAATTTTCTGAAACGATACCCTTCGGAAAATTTGATGCTATCGACCAACCCTTCGCTGTCCTGAATTTGCTGGAAAGCAGCGGTTCGATAGCACCAAATGTTCTGCAACGGCACCCTTCGGAAAATTTGGTGTTATCGAACCGCCCTTCGATGTCCTGATTTGCTGAAAAGTTCGTGGACATATTTACATCAGCTGTCGC